AAGAAAGGACAGAGGAATATGCTAGGTATCTGGGACCAGTGTAGCAGCTGAGCTGCAGCGCCTTCCAGTGTTCCTCTCAGACTCAGTCCCTTACTGCAAGCTGGCCTGCGGCTGCTGATCGCTGTGGGGTTCCAGCCCTTCTCTTCCCATAAATCAGAGGAGGCGGAGCTGTGCCTGTGGCTGCTGATCGCTGTGGAGTTCCAGATCTTCTCTACCTATTCATCAGAGGAGGAGGAGCTTCGCCTGCAGCTGCTGATCGCTGTGGGGTTCCAGCCCTTCTCTTCCCATTCATCGGAGGAGGCGGAGCTGCGCCTGCAGCTGCTGATCGCTGTGGGGTTCCAGCTCTTCTCTTCCCATTCATCAGAGGAGGCGGAGCTGCGCCTGCAGCTGCTGATCGCTGTGGGGTTCCAGCTCTTCTCTTCCCATTCATCAGAGGAGGCGAAGCTGCGCCTGCGGCTGCTGATCACTGTGGGGTTCCAGCTCTTCTCTTCCCATTCATCAGAGGAGGCACAGCTGCGCCTGCGGCTGCTGATCACTGTGGGGTTCCAGCTCTTCTCTTCCCATTCATCAGAGGAGGCACAGCTGCGCCTGCGGCTGCTGATCACTGTGGGGTTCCAGCTCTTCTCTTCCCATTCATCAGAGAAGGCGGAGCTGCACCTGAGGCTGCTGACCGCTGTGGGGTTCCAGCTCTTCTCTTCCCATTCATCAGAGGAGGCGAAGCTGCGCCTGCGGCTGCTGATCACTGTGGGGTTCCAGCTCTTCTCTTCCCATTCATCAGAGAAGGCGGAGCTGCACCTGAGGCTGCTGACCGCTGTGGGGTTCCAGCTCTTCTCTTCCCATTCATCAGAGGAGGCGGAGCTGTGCCTGTGGCTGCTGATCGCTGTACGGTTCCAGCTCTTCTCTCTCCCCATTCATCAGAGGAGGCGGAGCTGCGCCTGCGGCTGCTGATCGCTGTGGGGTTCCAGCTCTTCTCTTCCCATTCATCAGAGGAGGCGGAGCTTCGCCTGTGGAGGAAGATAGTGCCTGCTGATCTGGGTCAGTGTTGGTGATGGTGTGTTGTGTTTGATCTGTCACTGTGTGGGATCGCTCGGTTCAGCTGCCTGCTGTCACAGTGTTTTACCTCCCCCCATTGTCTGGGGAATTCCAGCCTGGGATCTGTCACAGTGTGGATCCATCATCCTCCACTCACTGCGACTGTCACCCCGCCACTGCCAGCCACAGAGACAGCCCGTCCGTGACACTGATTTTGTCTTTAACCACTTCCCGTCCGGCCGTTGTATATAAACGGCCTCCCCGCCCCCTGCTTGTGTGCGCTCCCTGGGAGCGCGCAGCACCGCAATCCTGATCATGTGATCACTGATTGGCCAATCAGTGATCACATGCAAAGTAGAAAGCAATGTCACTTCTGACATCATTGCTTACTACATGTGAAATCTGTGAATGATCACAGAGATCACATGGTACAGGGCCATTCACAACAGCCTTGTACCATGTGACAAGCTGTGACCAATCACAGCTCTCACAGTATTTCTCAATGGCTGTAAGAATGCAGCCAGAGAGAAGGGGAAATTATTACTTTTACAGCCTTTATTGGTGTAAAAGCAATCAGTGTAAAAAAAAATAAAAAATCTTCATCACAACCCACAAATAGTACATAAATAATAATATAAAAAAAAAATAAAAATGTAAAAAAACATTTAAAAAAATTATAATTTTTGGTTATAAACTAATTTGGGTTATTTTTCTTTTACTAAAAAGATAACTGAATACATTTTGGCCGAGATTTATGATGAAATATTATTTATGTGCAAAATTTTATAAGAAAAACACTTTTTTAAAAATTTTTGAACTTTTACATTTATATAGCAAAAAAAAAAAAAAATCCCAGCGGTGAATAAATACCACCAAAATAAAGCTTTATCTGTCTCACAAAAATGCTAAAAAATTCATATGGGTCCAGTGTTGCATGACCGCGCAATTGTCATTCAAAGTGTGACAGCGCTGAAAGCTGGAAATTGGCCTGGACTGGAAGTGGTTAATATTGGTGCTGCTGGCATCTTATTTATGTAAATAAAATAAATTTAGATGTTTCATGTTTTGTTGATTTAATATTTTCTACTGTTTTTAAAAATGTTGTATTTATCTATGTTTTTTGTTTGGGGGGGGGAGGGGGGGTCTCAAGTTGCTGTCTTGCCTAGGGCACCAAACAGTCTAGCACCGGCCCCGTCTCCAAAGCCTCCATAGAAGTCCATGACAAAGCTCGCTAACAGCACCTGCGGCTTTTGTGGGGCTTTTATTCAGCTTTAGCTTTGCTTTGTTTTGGAGGTATTGCAGGTATGAGATATCCCAGAATGCACTGGGAAACCAACAAGGGAACTGGAGAAGTGTCATCAGTAGTCACTTCTGGTTCATGTGTATATAATTCTGGGAGTGTCTGGTGCAGACGGCACATTTAGTGTGCAGCTGGAGCAGCAGGTGAGGTGAGGTGCAAAATACTGGGAGGAGAGTGGGGACCGGAGAGAGGATCAGTAAACCAGAGGAGCAGCTCTGCTGATCCCCCCCACTCAGTAGTAACCCCCAGCTCTGCTGATCCCCCACTCAGTAGTAACCCCCAGCTCTGCTGATCCCCCACTCAGTAGTAACCCCCAGCTCTGCTGATCCCCCACTCAGTAACCCCCAGCTCTGCTAATCCCCACTCACTCATAGTATCCCCCAGCTCTGCTGATCCCCCACTCAGTAGTAACCCCCAGCTCTGCTGATCCCCCTCAGTATAACCCCCAGCTCTGCTGATCCCCCAATCAGTAGTAACCCCCAGCTCTGCTGATCCCCCCGCTCAGTAGTAACCCCCAGCTCTGCTGATCCCCCACTCAGTAGTATCCCCCTGCTCTGCTGATCCCCCACTCAGTAGTAACCCCCAGCTCTGCTGATCCCCCACTCAGTAGTAACCCCCAGTTCTGCTGATCCCCCACTCAGTAGTATCCCCCAGCTCTGCTGATCCCCCACTCAGTAGTAACCCCCAGCTCTGCTGATCCCCCACTCAGTAGTAACCCCCAGCTCTGCTGATCCCCCAATAAGTAGTAACCCCCAGCTCTGCTGATCCCCAGCTCAGTACTAACCCCAGCTCTGCTGCTCTCCCCTCAGTAGTACCCCCCCAGCTCTGCTGATCCTCCACTTAGCAGTACCCCCCAGTTTTGCAGATCCCCCACTCAGTAGTAACCCCAGCTCTGCTGATCCCCTGCTCAGTAATACCCCCAGCTCTTCTGCTCTACCCTCAGTAGTAACCCTCAGCAGCACTGCTGCTCCTCTGGTTTACTGATCCTCTCTCCGGTCCCCACTCTCCTCCCAGTATTGGAGAGCAGAGCTGGGGGGTACTACTGAGGGGAGAGCAGCAGAGCTGGGGGCACTACTGAGTGGGGGAACAGCAGAGCTGGAGGTTACTACTGAGTGGGGGATCAGAAGAGCTGGGGGTTAATACTGAGGGGAGAGCAGCAAAGCTGGGAGTATTACTGAGCAGAGGATCAGCAGAGCTGGGGGTTACTACTGAGTGAGGGATCAGCAGAACTGAGGGTTACTTTTGAGTGGGGGATCAGCAGCGCTGGGGGTTACTTTTGAGTGGGGGATCAGCAGTGCTGGGGGTTACTTTTGAGTGGGGGATCAGCAGAGCTGGGGGTTACTACTGAGGGGAGATCAGCAGAGCTGGGGGTTACTACTGAGGGGAGATCAGCAGAGCTGGGGGTTACTACTGAGGGGAGATCAGCAGAGCTGGGGGTTACTACTGAGGGGAGATCAGCAGAGCTGGTTGTTACTTTTGAGTGGGGGATCAGCAGAGCTGGGGGTTACTGGGGATTATATAATTAAAGTGTATCTAAACCCAAGAACAAATGTGTCTTAAATTGCAGCAAACCCGTCCCTAGATATGGTGGCTGCATTCATTTTCCTTTTTCAGGCTCTTTATCCTTTATTTTCACCTGATGATCCCGCCTAGGACAGGGGTGACAACACTGTCCTAGGGTCATCGCCCACAGGATACCGTTGTCACCCCTGTCCTAGGGTGACAACGCTGCCACACTGCACTGTGTTTATGAAGGACCTAAGACAAAAATATGTTTGGGCTAACACCTCCCTCTCTCTGCATCTACATAAACATGGTGGGGAGGTGTTCTGTAGTCCACGCAGAGAGCTGGAAACAATGCTAACTGATTACAGACAGGAAGTTATCAGCTCACAAGATTTCTGGCAGGATCAACAGGTATTTTTTTTGCACTTTTTGAACAGATATAACAAAATACTTTACATTGTATATTTGTGCAACCAAATGAAAGCAAATAATAGGAGGTCGTTGTTGGGATGACATACACTTTAAGGCACGATCGTCTTAATTGCCGAAATTTTATCTGATTTTTTATTTTGCCTTCCCTGGTTCCTCCCCCCTCCCCCCCCAGCAGCATGCTAATGAAATGAACATGAAAAACAAACCCTTTCTATTTTTATTACAAACCTTATTTTAGATCCATTGTTTTCATACTGGGTCTCTGTGCTTCTCTATGCAATGCAGGCAGATCATAGCTGGTGGGAGGGTCCGGTAGTGTGCTGTACTGATAATATCACGGTGCCCTGCCTCAGTACTCCTCTCAAGAGCCCTCAGTCCTGATGCAAGCAGTGGGAGGAGTTATGCAAATATCAAAATGATAGATGGGCGGCAGTCCTTGGTAACACCCACTTGTGGCGTTATACCTGTGATTGAAAGAACTGTAATACAATGAATGAAGGGGGTGGGGCCAGGGACAGTCAAGCTTGGGAGGAAAGTGCTGGATGCTGCTTGATGTCCTCCAGCCAGGAAATGATGTGGAGATCTGGCTTGCTGCAGCTTCTAGTGCACATTGTGAGACACTCCCAGTGTGCAGTGACATCAGAGGAAGACGTTTCAGTCCAGGGGAGGAACCGGTATTCCTGTGCAAGACTGAAGGGGAGGAGCCAACACACCTGTGCAAGACTAATGGGGAGGAGCCGGTACACCTGTGCAAGACTGAAGGGGAGGAGCTGGTACACCTGTGCAAGACTGAAGGGGAGGACCGGTATTCCTGTGCAAGACTGAAGGGGAGGAGCCAACACACCTGTGCAAGACTAAAGGGGAGGAGCCGGTACACCTGTGCAAGACTGAAGGGGAGGAGCTGGTACACCTGTGCAAGACTGAAGAGGAGGAGCCAGTACACCTGTGCAAGACTGAAGGGGAGGAGCCTGTACACCTGTGCAAAACTGAAGGGGAGGAGCCGGTACACCTGTGCACGACTAAAGGGGAGGAGCCAGTACACCTGTGCAAGGTTGAAGGGGAGGAGCCAGTACACCTGTGCAAGACTGAAGGGGAGGGGCCGGTACATCTGTGCAAGACTGAATGGGAGGAGCCGGTACACCAGTGCAAGACTGAATGGGAGGAGCCGGTACACCTGTGCAAGACTGAAGGGAAGGAGCCGGTACACCTGTGCAAGACTGAAGGGGAGGAGCCGGTACACCTGTGCAAGACTGAAGGGGAGGAGCCGGTACACCTGTGCAAGACTGAAGGGGAGGAGCCGGTACACCTGTGCAAGACTGAAGGGGAGGGGCCGGTACACCTGTGCAAGGCTGAAGGGGAGGAGTCGGTACACCTGTGCAAGGCTGAAGGGAGGGAGCCGGTATACCTGTGCAAGACTGTCGTAGCTTAACAATGGCGGCCCCCAAATTTCTCTCCTCTAATATGTAATATTCGGATTCCTCGCGGAGTTGCATGTGATGACACTTCTATAAAGTAGCGGATGAAATTGCGCAGCTCCGGGGAGACAGCGTCCGATCATTCGCACTCCGTTACATGCGGCGTCCATTGGAGGATTGGGTGTTCCAGGCTGACCTCGGTGAAGATTCGGCATCAGCGATGAGAGCCACCGAGAAGGCTGGAACACAGACTGCGGCTCCGGGGATTTGGCGCCGAGCGGAACGACGCGTTGTGGAGAGCGGCTAATGAATGTTCCGCCGCGCACTCCGCTCGTCCTCGCATCCGACAATGACAGCAGAGAACGCCGCAAAGAGTAATTACCGGGGACGCGGGAAAGGCGCAGATGTTGATTTGTATCGTTTAAAAACACTTTCTGCCCTTCTGGTCAGTCGGGTCGGACCGGAACCATCCGTCTGGGTCCAGGAGAGCTAAAAATACACAAAACAAGTGAAATACAAACAGAAAAGAAGTCGATGTTCCGGCACCAGAAATTCTAGATTTACTTTAATATTTTGTGCTTCTTAAAGCAAACATTGATTATATCGCGGCTTTCCAATTCTTGGAGGCAACGGCTGCCGGCGTTTTATTTTTTAGGCTTTCTTTCTTCGGTTTTCATCTGGTGATCCAGCCCGTAAGTCTGTTGTTTTTCAACAGAACCAGAAGAATGTATCAGTAAGGCCCCCCCATTCACACCTCAGCGTTTTGTAGCGTGAAGCTCCGGGGGACAAAATCAGTATTACTCCATGGAGACAGTTCACATCTCCACTCCAAGTCGCCTGAAGGTCGAAAATGTTTTGGAGCTCAAATTGGGCAGATTTGCACGTTTTTGGCGCATTTTGATTATCGCAGAAAAGAATAGAAATGTGCGATTGGCACTTTTTTTTGCGCTTTTTAATGCACATTTTGTGCAATTTTCTACTCAACTGAAAATATGTAAAAAAAATAGTACAAATATATGAATAAATAAATGTAAAATAAATTTTAAAAATACACATATAAATAAATAATCATCAGACATGAATAATAATTAACCCCAAACCTTGAACAAATGAAATATAATATTCATAAACACCCAAAAAAAAAAAAAATACAGGAGGGCACAGTACAGGGGGAGTCAGGAGGGCACAGTACGGGGGGGGGGGGGTCAGGGGGGTCAGGGGCACAGTACAGGGGGAGTCAGGAGGGCACAGTACAGGGGGAGTCAGGAGGGCACAGTACGGGGGGGGGGGGGGGGTCAGGAGGGCACAGTACAGGGGGAGTCAGGAGGGCACAGTACAGGGGGAGTCAGGAGGGCACAATACTGGGATCAGGAGGGCACAATAATACGATCAGGAGGGCACAATACTGGGATCAGGAGGGCACAGTACAGGGGGGAGTCAGGAGAGCACAATACTGGGATCAGGAGGGCACAATATTGGGATCAGGAGGGCACAGTACAGGGGGAATCAGGAGGGCACAATATTGGGATCAGGAGGGCACAGTACAGGGGACTCAGGAGGGCACAATACTGGGATCAGGAGGGCACAATACTGGGGTCAGGAGGGCACAATACTGGGATCAGGAGAGCACAATACTGGGATCAGGAGGGCACAATACTGGGATCAGGAGGGCACAGTACAGGGGGAATCAGGAGGGCACAATATTGGGATCAGGAGGGCATAATACTGGGATCAGGAGGGCATAATACTGGGATCAGGAGGGCACAATACAAGGGAGTCAGGAGGGCACAGTACAGGGGGGAGTCAGGAGGGCACAATATTGGGATCAGGACGGCACAGTACAGGGGGAATCAGGAGGGCACAATACTGGGATCAGGAGGGCACAATACAAGGATCAAGAGGGCACAATACTGGGATCAGGAGGGCACAATACAAGGATCAAGAGGGCACAATACTGGGATCAGGAGGACACAATACAAGGATCAAGAGGGCACAATACTGGGATCAGGAGGACACAGTACTGGGATTAGGAGGGCACAATACTGCGATCAGGAGGGCACAGTACTGGGATCAGGAAGGCACAATACTGGGATCAGGAGGGTATAATACTGGGATCAGGAAGGCACAATACAAGGGAGTCAGGATGGCACAGTACAGGGGGGAGTCAGGAGGGTACAATATTGGGATCAGGACGGCACAATACAAGGATCAAGAGGGCACAATACTGGGATCAGGAGGGCACAGTACAGGGGAATCAGGAGGGCACAATACTGCGATCAGGAGGGCACAATACTGCGATCAGGAGGGCACAATACTGGGATCAGGAGGACACAGTACTGGGATTAGGAGGGCAAAATACTGGGATCAGGAGGGCACAATACTGGGATCAGGAGGACACAGTACTGGGATTAGGAGGGCAAAATACTGGGATCAGGAGGGCACAATACTGCAATCAGGAGGGCACAGTACTGGGATCAGGAGGGCACAGTACTGGGATCAGGAGGGCACAATACTGGGATCAGCCTATAAAAGCCTATTTTGGGTTTCACGCCGCTTGAAGTTTAACAGCTCGCCTACCGGGGACAATTCTTATTTTTTCCCATACATGTTAAAATCAGCAGTAAATGATGTAGAACCCCCAAACATGATATATTTTCTGAAAGTAAAGCTCCTGATCATGTGACCATTGTGAAAGACAATCAGAGTGGTTACAGGAACACAATCCTTTTTTTTTTTTTTTTTTTTTGCGCATTTCTGTAAGTTGCACATAGGGCAGCCCATTTACTGGAATGCACTACAAACATGGCAAAGAACCCGCACGGAAGAAATATATATTTGAAATATATTTTAAAAATATTTTTCCCAAATGTATTGACATATAGTTGAAATACTACAATTTTGGCCGTATTCAATATATTTAAAAATATATTTCAATAAATATATATGCTGCATGTTGAAATGCATTTTTTATATATTACAAAATATCTGAAAAATATTTTTAAAAAAAATATATATTTTTTAAATATATTCTTCAGATTTTTTATTATATAAAAAAGTAATTTTTACATATATTTGTAAATGCATTCCAAAAATGTAGATTTGTATTGTTAAAGACATACAGTATATTTGACAATGTATTTTTACAAATATTTGTGTGAATTGGCCCTGATGCTGGATTCACACTTTGTGTAGCGGGAAAGCACAATCCCACTTTGAGTTTTTTTTTTTTTTTTGCACATTTCCACAAGTCGCACATAGGGCAGCCCATTTACTTGAATGCACGAAAAAACATGCCAAAGAACCCATATGGAAGAAAAATATATTTGAAACACTACAATTTTGGCTGTATTCAATATATTACAAAATATATGAAAAAATACATATATATATATATATATATATATATATATATATATAAAAACACATATACATATATATACTGTATGTTGAAATGTGTTTTTTATATATTACAAAATATATGAAAAATATTTTTTTAAATATATGTTTTTTTAAATATAGTCTTCAGATTTTTTTTTAACATATAAAAAAGTAATTTTAACATATATTTGTAAATGCATTCCAAAAATTTAGATTTGTATTTTTATTGACGTACAGTATATTTGAAAGTGTATTTTTAAAAATATTTTTTATATATTTTGTAATAAACATACAGCATATATATATATATATTTTTTTTTTTTTTTTTTTAATTGAAATATATTGAATATGGCCAAAATTATAGTGTTTCAAATATATGTCAATATCACCTACTTTCTATGCGTTTTGGATGCAGAAAAAAAGCATCTGAAATGCATGTAGTGTGAATTGGCCCTAAGGCTGGATTCACACTTTGTGTAGTGGGAAAGCACGTTCCCACTTGAGGGTTTTTTTTTTTTTTTTTTGCACATTTCCACAAGTCGCACATAGGGCAGCCCATTTACTTGAGTGCACGGCAAACATGCCAAAGAACCCATATGGAAGAAAAATATATTTGAAATACTATAATTTTGGTCGTATTCAATATATTTCAAAATATATTTCAATTTAAAAAAAAATAATATATATATACACACACACACTCTATGTTGAAATGTGTTTGTATTACAATATGTATGAAAAATATAAAAATTTAAAAAAAAAAATATATATATATATATATATATATATATATATATATACACACACATATATATATATTAGTATTTTTATATTTAGATGTTTTTTAGATTTAAAATATTATTCATATATATTGTAATAAAAATGCATTTCAAAGTACAGTGTGTGAGTATATGTGTGTGTATATATATATATATATATATATATATATATATACTCACACACTGTACTTTGAAATGCATATATATATATATAATATTTTTTTTTAGATATATTGAATATGGCCAAAATTGTAGTATTTCAAATATATGTCGATATATTTGGGAAGACTTTTTTCAGGGGGTTGCGCTTTTTTGCGCGTTTTGCGATGCCTGTTTTGGAGCATTTGCTGCGTGACAAAATGCACGTCTGCTAACAGTGTTTTATTGGCGTTGCAAGCGCAATACACGTATGCAGCGTGTTTCCAAAATGCGTGTTCCTATGCAGTTTGATGTGCGTTCAGGAAACGCGACCGTGTAAACGCAATCATATCGCCTCCTCGCCGCCTGTCAGAGGTGCCCCAATGTTAGCCACACATCTAACTGCAGTCTGAAGTCTATGCGCTTATCTCGATGGCGAAGTTAAACCGCCGACTATAAAAGTTAGGGAGCCGCCAGCAGACATCCCGACTCTTCCCAAATCATTTGAATGCAAAATTTTCCTGTTTGACCGCGGCGCACCTTTAATTCAACAGGTACACTTCTCAAAACACAAAAACCTTTCCGAGATGCAGAAAAAAAAAATTTGCCGTTCGATATATATT